AGACTGATATTCCCTATCACTACAAGATTTCTAGGCCACAAATCTTGGACGGTTGTGACATCACTCATGAAATTGAAACTCCTTATGTACTGCATTGCAGCAAACGTGAAGTTCCAGTTTCTTTGTTTTAAGATTTGTGAGAGCTGATATTTGTGCTTTTGAAATTTTTATGTGGTACTGAGATTGATCTGAAATAAGGCTTCCACAGCGATTCAACTTCAATGTACACAAAAAATGGGGTGCACAATTTTGCACCAATGTTATGCAACATTTCGCAGTTGATCGGGAATATCTCTATTAGCCATAAATCCCTCCAATATGTTCTCGGTGCATCTTTTTTAAAGATTTTGTTTGCGTTTTGTAGACGCACATGCATCATTTGGCATAAGAACACGGGGCGTTTCTGTGGTGGGAAAAAAAATGACTTCCATATCTATCACAGATTACAAATTCAACAGTGAGCATGCATAAGAGCGTAACTGCGATGATCGATTCCCTCTTTTATTAATAACTCACTTGGATTAACATATCTCGGTGCGTTTGCTGTTGATTTTGATAGCCAATACAACCTGTTACAGGTCACAGCACTACATTGAACCTAATTCAGATAATATTCAAGCTGAACATTACATTAGGTCCTAAGTATAACATTGATCGATTCTCTTCGTCGACTTTCTATTTCGTTAATAACTTGAGTACATAACCGTTTCTTGTAGTGTTTGTCGTATTAGATGCTATATAACTCAAGCGGAACTTTGTTTGTCACCTGCTGGCTCCAGAATTCTGCACGGACAGTATCGTTTCGTAGCTCTTTATCGATGCGGTTCACGCTTATGTTGAAGAAGTAACTCAACCGCATCCTACACATCTGATTTTTCTTCTTGAAGGCCTTACTTTGGCGTTGCCATGTCACAACGAGCTTGTCAACCCTCCTAACAACGTTCCGCTTGAGCTGGTGCGAAAGTTCGGCTTGATTCCAAATTTCCACAGCTTCGGTAGCCACAACTTGAATGCTTTGTCCGATTGAAAGTTGTTGGGTTTCATGCTTGAATTGAAAGTACCTGATGATGTCCAACTCCGACGTCAAACGGTTTCTGGACAAATGCTTCCTCGCAATACCGGTGATGAGATCCGACTTGAGCTTGGTTTAAGGTGACATGATTTTCTTTTTTGGTTCTGCTTGCTACGGCAATCAAATTGAAACTAATCAATTGTGTGATCCCTCTCCGCTCATATAGGGTAGAGAACTACTTCGGCCCATTTTGGGCCTATGGAACAGAAAACTTCAAATAAATCCATGATTTCAGAGTTAGCAAGTCAATTATGCGTTTGGTACGATACTTTAGTTAATAAGCTACCGAACGAAGTCAATTAGAACGCGTGATATGAAGGTTTGCACCAATTATTCCCAAAAGCAAAAGAAGCGCTCCGACCGAATCAATTTTTATCTTCATCCGATAGGCCGAAGTGAATTCATTGGCGTTTCAATGGCGTTTCAAAACGTTAGGCCGAGTTTAGAATCCGTAGGCCGAGTTTGGCGTCAAGAAGCAGTGTTAGACTTTTGACAATATCTCAACGATTGGTTTCTCTTTATCAATTCTTACGATACGTACGGAAAGGTAAATAAATGTGGAAGCTATCAGTAATAATAACATCACAGACAAAATAACATTGCGTTTGGTACTAAACTCCGCTAGATTAAGAAAGACTAAATGCGGGTTGTGCTTAATAGGCCGGAAATGGGGTAGTTAACCCTATCCTCCTATTGAATGCTAGAAACTTCGAAACAAATGGTATCAAGTGATTTGCAACAAAAAAGGTGATTTGTATTTATCGATTTCAATGATAGTTTGATTTGCTGCAATACTGCAAGTATTGAAATTCTGAACTTTTCTTTCCACAGTAAATCACGGATAACTTTTTAACGGTTAAAAATGAGGTTAAAGTGTCTTCGGCAAAGTTGATAATAGCGCTATGTTTGATACCCACTTTTGATGATTGAATGCAGTGGTATACAACAAAAAACATCATTTTAGAGAATTTGAAAAAAATTAACTAACAAATTGGACACAGAACATGCCGTAGCAATTTTTTCTCTTATAGTTTTGACCCTTGGAAATCTTCAAAAAATATAAAAGGGTGAGATTTCACTGAAATTTAAATAACTAAAATTGTTTATTGGATAATAGCTATGAAAAATGGACTTTTTTTTTCAAAAATCTCGTCCCAGAGTTGCCTCCATACAAAAGTTTGTTTGTAACACCCTTAGCTATCATTTGGAGGTTGAGCCCCCAGATTTCCAGACATAGTGCAATTTTGGGACACCCTAATGAATATTGACATGTTTTTTGTATGTATTTTGTTAGCAATACATATATTAGATATAATGAAAAACATTCAGTATGAAATATCTTTTGAGATAGTCCCATTACTAAAATCTTTTAATTTCAATTATAAAATACTTTATTACGCAATTCACACCAAACTGGACTAATAACCGCGTTTTCACTTACTAAAAAGTGTGATAAAAGTGTACATGTCCGTCTAATCGTCTTGACAAGTAAGCAATAAGTGCACCGATGACACCAAAATGGTTTGACGAAAACGTGCACCAGTGCAATCCAGTTTCAGTTGCAATCAGCAAAATAACCGAATAAAAATGGTAACACACGTTATGTGAAAGCTTGAGTGCACAGTTGTTATATGTTTTCAAAGGTTTTAAGAGAATTGAAATGCTCAGATGTAAGTATACGTATCATTTTGCTAACCCACATGTATTTGATGTTCAAGAATGTCAGCATTCGAAACGGCCAGCGCTACGGGAACATCCAGAACGTTGTGTTCGACCAATTTTACAAACGAGGCCAGAAGATAAGTTTCCTTCCAAATACACATGTACGATGAGACTATTGAAGTTTTCCCATTCTTTTCAGGCCCCATCGCAACTACGGATACTTTTCCCAAGGAGCCAGAGCAATCGCTCCTCTAATGACATCGTTGACAACTCCTGGGATTTCTACGAAGCCAACATCAATCTGCTGTATTACAACATCTTTGACCCTCGGTTGGCTCTACCTCGCCGTCATCATTCGTCTCTCAAGGACCCAGTTCAGTTTAAATCCCAACTTGTTAATTATACAATCATAAATAAATTATTGTAAAATATGACTTGATGTTTTGCACCTGATTTTCATTCGAAATTCCATTATATAATTTCAGTTTATAATTAGTTGAAAATAATTCGATTATCCTATGATTTATGAATACTTTGGTTTTCGCAAATCGATCTAAAATCATTCATTATATGTATGATTGTCATTTGATTTATTCATTTTCCAACAGATGATAAATCGAATGACGATCATCTCAAAAACATCTGATAATAGTTATAGGGCTTGAGTGAGGCAATAATCATTCTATGCCAGGATGATGTTTTGGTTCAGTGTAGCACGGAAAAAAAGTTGATAGTACCTCTCTTTATGCTAAAGTGAACCTTACACGGTTGCTTTTATTGACAATAATTGTATTATCAATACATTGATATTGACATTTCTGTATTCACATCATCAATATTATTATCAATAATTCCCCTTCGCGTCAATATATTGATACGTGTGGAGTTCACTTTAGAGATAAGCATTGTAAGTCCCTCCTACTTGAAGAATTATGCAATCGAACGGCTTGCTATGCCTCACCCCTATCAGCGAAAATCTGAGATTTTATAAACCGTTCTATAGCATAATTTTCCTAGTAGGTTGGCCTTTCATAGCTAATCTAAAAGCATAAATAGAGGTACCGTCTAATAATGCTTCAGTGCTTGGTACAGAAATCTATAATCTATGTGAGCTATCAGTTACGCCAGACCGACGATAAAATGCGTTGTTTACAATAGCTGATATGTCCTTTCGAAAAGTAATCGAGATTTGTAGGACGCAGCGTCGTTGTCACTCTGGCAAGGAGGTTGATCCATTTAGGATCCGGCAGCCACAGTGATCTCGAAAAATCGAATGCTGCGCGCTTGACAGGAACCGCTGCTATCCTCCTCCTGCTGCTAAGGCTGCTGCTGCTGCTACATGTTCACAAGCCGTCCGCTGCGAAAATGAGTTAAGGCACAAAAGCTGCGCTTTTTTATAACTTTTCAGATTCAAGCAGCACGATTTTCAACCAAATGGTACTCGATTATGACGACTGGGTTTGAGGAGAACGTTTATTAAAAATTATCACTTTTTATTTGTACATTCTTCAACATTTTTTTGTGGGAAATTGAAAAAAGTATTTATTTTAGCAGATTTTGAGAGCTATTTCCTATCGATTGATGTATTTGGATTTTAATTTCATCTATAAAGGACAAAGTTATAAGCGTTCAAAACCTTACACTTTTTCGTGATGGTCACTCGTAGGATGCGGTACAACCATCACAATCAAATGAATTTTCATTATTTTGTCCCAAAAATAATATATTCTATTCTTTTAGGATTGAATACAGACTGGTCGATTTCAATTCTGAATATTCTTGTGATAACTTGGCGTGGAATGACCCACAAATTGAATTGATTTCATCAATAAGTAGCAGGGGACTGAAATCGAAAGCGCTCATGCCACTCGTCGAGGGTTCAAATCTCATCCCCAGACAAAAAAAAATAACTATAACAAAAAATACAATTTTTATAATCCCTATTTATAGGTTACTAGCTGAGTGTGCCCGGTCTCGCTCGGGATTCAATATTAGCTTCAGTTTATGCGCCGATTCAAAAAAGCATGCCATATTTTCTGTTTCATTTGTTTAGGAGCCCCCCCCCCTTACAGACGGAGGAGGGGTCTCGAACCATCATAAGAACCATTCACGGTCCCAAAAACCCCTGCATACAAATTTTCACGCCGATCGGTTCAGTAGTTTCCGAGTCTATAAGGGTCAGACAGACAGACAGAAAATCATTTCTATATATTTAGATAGAATAAATGGATGCGTCTTAATTTTCCAGCGTTATTTTTTTTTTCAGGAATATTCCAGTGATCCTCGTCACTATCGTCGCGATATATTGGAAATCGGTGTTTGTTTGGATCGCTGCGTTTCACTTACCGAATTAACAAACAATGATGGACACAATGCACAACTTGCGGAAAAGTGTGCTGCCGACCGGGTACAAACTAACTATAATTTGAATTCCACAACTGATGTTTTGAATTGCATCTCAGCCCAATACGATGCTCATTCAATTGGTATAGATTGGCAGGATCATAATGTTAGCGCAGAAGTTAAGTGAAGTTCTTGTATTCTAGACACCAAGCAGACCGTCTTCAATTATACATTATTGTCCATGTTGGTTCTAATAACACTGTGCACTGTGATCAGTAATAGAAAATGTATTTTCTCAGGTAATTGTGGCTTCAATAGTGTCAAATTTTACTATCCTCTTCAACTCTATCGTCCTTTCACAGATTCTATCATAGTCAAAGCGTTCTCTCTGTCTGAAAATTTGAAAAAGCTAGGATCGCTGAATTCCAGATCCAGACAGGATCTTCTCTTTTTGGATGGTGCTCGAGTTCTTACCATGTTGGTGATCCTACTTTGTCACGCTTCCATTCCAATGATTCGATTTCCTCTGAAGAATCCGGAAAATAAGGAACAACAGTTCGACAACTTTTGGTTCCCGATTGCATTGTCCGGCAACACCTACACGGTGCAGATATTTTTCGTAATCGGTGGAATAGTGCTGGCGGTAAACTTCATGGATCACATCAAATCGCACACACAATTCAAACTGTCATATTTGCTGGACAGGATCATCAATCGATTAATTCGGTACGTTCAACGACTTAAACATTTGTGGGATCAAGTTGACAGTATTCTTCTCATTACAGATTAGTGCCCGTGTATGCCTTTGTGATTTTTTTCCAAGTGTCTTGGTACCAGAGGTTAAAAGATGGCCCTATTGCCGATCGGTATAAGGATCACTGTACCGAAAACTGGTGGACTAATCTATTGTTTGTGAACAATTACATCAATGTTCGTGAACCGGTAATTCTATTTCATCAAAATTGCTATGAGTTTTTGGAAATGATTCATCGTTGTTTTTAGTGTTTGCAATTCACTTGGTATCTTGGAGCTGATTTTCAGCTGTACGTAGCAGGAACAATAATCATGATGATAATTTGGAGGTAAGCAGATATTACCTTTTCAGAAGATAGAAAAATGTCACTATTACCAACTCTGAGCGTGATTATTGTTCTGTATATATAACCGGGCACTCTTGTATATTGTTAACGAAAACATGAGATCGTAGATTACGGCGGCGGGTATTGATGTCGATACTACTCTTCAATGTAGAACAATCAACGTTTCCCTGAAGAAGATCACCGACGAAGCTCGTCATTGCTTCGTTACGTCTCGTATCCAAAAGCTCTAAGGTGATAACCATACAACGGTTTTCATAGCTAGGCAGATTTCTGGGTTCATTCCAGTTAAAATGCCTTAACGCATACCGGATGAACTTCCGTTGAATAGCTTCAATACGCATGGTTTCATATTGGTAGTATGGAGACCACACGACCGTCGAATACTCCAAAATAGGTCGCACCAACGAACAGTATAATGCTTTTAGGCAGTATACATCTTTGAATTTTTGGGCAAAGCAGAATATGAACTCGAATTGTGAGGAAGCTTTGGATATTACGTATGCAACATGATCCTTGAAGCTGAGCTTGGAGTCGATCACTATTCCCAGATCCTTGATAGTCGATTCACGTTTCAAAGTTATGCCCGTCAGGGTGTAGTCATGGTGAAGAAGCGAACGCTTGAGGCCAAAGGGAATTACAGAGCATTTTGAGACATTCAGTGACATGCGATTAATAAATACCACACCACTCAGCGAAGGCTTCCAATTGTTGCTGCAAGAAAATAGCATCACTAGGTTCTTTTATCACGAAGTAGAGTTTCAAGTCGTCCACATACGATAGTTTAAGGCATTTCAGGATGGTATTCACATCATTCATGTACAACAGAAACAGAAATGGCCCATGTCGCCCAAACGCCGGATGTCACGGGGAAGGATGAAGAAACATAGTCTCCAATCTTGACAGACATGTATCGACCAGTCAGGTAGGAGTACAGCCAAGTAAGCAGGCCATCGTGAACACCTTGCCTGTCGTATTAGGCCAACGCAATGTCATGGTTCATTTTGTCAAATGCTGCGGAGAGGTATGTGTAGATGGCATCTACTTGATGGCCACGTTCATGAATGATGAATAAAGTGAACGTAACTAAATTGGGCGCCGTGGAACGCTTAGGCATGAAGCCATGCTGATCCGTCGAGATACAGTGTGCATTGAACCAATTTTTCGAGTATAATCAACTCAAAAAGTTTGGAGGTAGCACTTAACGAAGCTATTCCACGGTAGTTTTAAACAGTCCTTTTGCAGCCTTTCTTGTGGATTGGGAACATGAAAGACTCTTCCCAGCAAGCTGGGAAAACCCCAGACATCAAGGAGAGATTGAAGACGTTGGCTAGAGGTGTCGCGGGAGCAGTCAGGCAGCGTTTGAGGACCATCTGGACCGGAACCTGTTGAAGTTTTTAGATGCTTCCCGCATGAAATAACCATGTCACTGGTGATAGAAAATTGATGGCTGTAGAAGGTGACATTATTAGACGCAGCAATTACATCCTGAGTGCTGAGTCGTTCGTCATTGAAAATACTGAAAGGACTGTATTGTGTGCGAAACAAGTCGGCAATACCCACGATAGAGTCCACTTCAACTACGCCGTTCGTCATACTAGTCCGCTTTCCTTTCTTTGGGCAGTCACATGGCGCCAAAAGTTCTTAGGATTTGATTTCCGACGACGCTGAAGCTGGTCTTGCTGTGCATGGTACAGTTGGTTGTTGAGTCGCTTGTAATCCGTGTTCGCTTTATATGCTTTCGTGGAATCGGTTTGGTGTTTGCTGTGCTTACGAAGAGCAGCCCTTTTACATTTTTTCAATCGCTTAATCTCTTAATTCGACCTGACAGGTTTAACAACTGATTCATTTAGGTACGAATTGATCGATTGTGTACAAAAGAATGTTGGATATCGTCGATGCCGCGAGATTAGAAGCACTGTCACGCAGTGCCTCTTTCGAGTCGACATTTGAGAGAAAATCTTTCATTTTGCTGAAGTTGGCTTCGCCAAAGCTATAGCGGACTCTCTACAGTGTCTTTGAAATTACGATAAACGTTGAGCTTTATGCTTACCAGCAGAGGATGATGATGGCTACAGTTTTTAACAAGCGCGGAGGAAAAATCAGTGCACATCTCCTCTTTTACGTCAAAAGAAAATGTAGTTATTTGCAGATGAATTTAATCGGAGAACAAGAGGAACATTGGAAAATCGACCTCACATCATTTGGTTTTAATTGTTGATTAAAACCATGTATCACGGAACTGATTGTTACAGTTCGCGTTTGGCATTCAACGTTAGCAGTTCAGCTAACTAGCCTTGCTCTGTGTGTGCATTTTTGACGTAGGATTACGTCTTTCGGCAACAAAATCGACCGCGTTACGAAAAGTGGCCAGGTTTTGACCACTTATAACTCTGTCAATAGCAGATGGATTTTAATTCTAAGCAAGCCAATCGATTGAAAAATTTTCCGTGCGTCTTGTGACAAAAAATATGTAATTTTGTCATCAGAAAACGAGGCAACGATGATTTTGCAAAAATATACATTTTACATCATTGCTTGCAAGTATTCCACAAACATCCCAATTCATAACAGTCATAATATAAGATGTTATTTTATATTTCTGGATTTCATGTGGGGATCATTTCTATATAACACCCAAATTTTATGATATTTATGAGTAATACATAATTTCTATGATAGTCAGGCTCAATCAATCAATCAATCAACCAATCTTCTGAAGGGGCCCATTTTACCCTCACTACCTCTATTCTGAAATGGCATCATAAATTCCTAATAGATAAAATATTTGATGAGCAGCGAACCCAACTGTGGAATAGTGAGTTCTTGATTTAAGTTTTCAAGTTTGGTTTCATAAATAACCGGGAACATTTAAAATACATTTTTTTCCATGATTTGTTTTCCGTCGATCCTGTTTTCCGCGCTGAGCACCAATGCTACCGACGCCAAGGAGGCAGGTCCCGCACCTGGACCCTACCTATCGACCCATAAACTCATGAACCGGGGACCAACAGCTTTACTTCCCTTCCGTTATTAACATTTCAAAGGTGTTTTGTAGAAAACAGCTTACTAAGAATTCTTCTCTGTCCACAGACTTTTCTGAATGCCCAAACATTAGTGCCAAATTTTGGGCGTCTCTATGTATAAGTGCAAAACGATTTCAGCGTTGATCGCGAGTCTATTCGACTGGCTGGCAAAAAATGTACTGGTGAACTGAAGCCGTTATGTCGCGAGTGATTGGTGATGGAAAGTGGACGAAGCCGCAAACGAGTGGGGAGAATGGAAATGCCAACTCCCTGCCTTTAACGTTTCGTGAATAGAGGGCGGGTTCTTCTCCCCACTCATTAGGACATCCTCCTTCTGGATGGCCAGTTTTTTTTTACCCGTTGTATGATCCTGTTGTTGGAAAGAGATTCTCATTTATCCTGTGAATGGTCGTGGGCAATGTTGCCAACGGATTCACCCAAACCGTTTTTGGCCCTTCATACAATGGCAGGTTGAGTACAATTAGAGGTTATTGAACTTGATTAAGTCGAACAGCGAGGATAGTCCACAGTCTACCGACAGTTGTCTTGTTACAGTGAGTGGTAGTTCCATATCATATCATATCTCTATCTATAAGTGCAAAAACGATCATATATGTACAAGATTTCTTGAATTTCTACATAGAAACTCATATTTTGCCACACATTTACACTAGAAACGTAATAGAAGTCAATAATTTGCCCTACCCATATACTTTACAGTGGATGCCTCTGCATAATGTAAAAGTCTTTGTGAATTAAGATTCTTTTGTATTAATGTTTATATTCTATTCCAGGTTCCCAAAACTTATCAACGCAGTATCTTACTTCATGGTAGCTTTTGCATTACTGGTTCCTGCTATTGTAATCTATGTGTATAATTTAGACGCAACTGTTATGATGATCATAAGGTGCGAATGATGTCTGAGGTTGCGATGAAGGATCCTCCTGATAGTCAGCAAAGGCGAGGCATACCACACCGGAGGCGGCAGGGTCGATTCCGAGTCCAGACAGGGGACTTTTCGGGTTGGAAAATTTGAAGACTTCCCTGGGCATAGTGTATCATAGTGATTCTTCTATATCTTCTCTTTGTCTTTTAACGCTGCTTATACGGCTGGCTTTCAAATTAGTGTTTTATGATCCCTTATATAGTTATTAATTGAGTGCATGAATGCCTTAATGAATGTGGATATAGAAATCAATCAAGCACAATGATACTCTATTATGCCCAGGGAAGACGAGAAAATTTCCAACCCGAAACATTTTCTCGACCGACCCGGGAATAGAACCCGCCTCCATCGGGTAGGTGACCACCATCGTGCCTTAACTGATCTAAATCTAAGTTTTGAACTCTGTAATGAATGTTGTTCGGGAATATAATAAGTTCTACTTATTTTACAGATACATCATAGGTGAAATCCGAGAGCTCGAGTATTATCTCAAAGTGTATGTCACCTTCGAAAGCAACGCCGGAAATTACTTCCTCGGTATGATTACAGGCATTTTGTATCATCAACTAGTCTCAAATGGAAATAAGTTGGATAGTATCAAAGTAAGTGCAGTGCTTCAAACGTGTCAACAAAATAATAATAATTAATGTTTTCAGAACTTCAAATCCATGTTCCTTATGTCAGCTGTATTCTTCATATCCATGAACATCATGACTGTTTTTCTGCCCCGAGATCATCTTGAACACCGTTCTCTGCTTCTTGCAATCTATGGATCGCTGTTGAAAATGTCCTGGGGTATCCTGGCATGCTTTTTGATATTTTATCTTTCCTTTCGACCACAAAGCATCTTCGCATCATTCCTACAGCATCCGATAATGCTGGTGGCATCCAAATTCAGCTACTGCGCGTACGTTGTTCAATACACAGTGGTGTACATGATTTATCGCAACATCACCACACCAATAATGAGCAGCACATTCACAACGGTTTGTTTTCATTATTTAATGTCTCCAGAAATTCCATTCCTCGTCTCTTTCAGATTTTATTCACATCGTCTGTGCTGTTCATCACAATCCTCATGGGTTTGCTACTTCATGTTTGCGTTGAAGTGCCATTCATGACATTACTCAAGGCCCTAGTTGAGCCGAAACGTACAAAGACGGTACGGTTGAAGCACCCAACTTTGCTTGCTTTTGTTCGGTTTGAAAGCTAATATTTGTTTTCTTTTATGTGCAGATCTCCGCAACTGTAGAGCAGACAGCTGATCATCGAAATAAAAATGGTTCCAAGTTATTAAGATAATAAAGTTAAATTTTGCTAAGGGCTGCAATTATTGAAAATAGAAGTGAAAGACATCCAGGTCATTCATTTTGGCAACTATACCTAATTTAAAAATATCGATGTATATTTAAGTTGTTTTTTCTTATATGAGGGGGTTAGAAGGAAAGGGGTGTAAGTGACTTTGATCGATTCTCTTCATCGACATTCTCTTTCGTTAATTATTCAGCTGCAAACACATTTCTTGATTTGTGTACCATTCTGAATGCTAGATGAGAACCTCCTTTATCAAACTATGTTGCTGAGCTAGCAGCAATCAACTTCGCAATGGGGATGATTTCCAACATTCCCGCAGACCATTACTTCATCTTCTCGGATAGTCTCAGTTAGATTGAGGCTATTCGGTCGATGAAACAAGGTAGGCACTCATCTTATTTCCTTTCAAAGGTAAGGGAGCAGATGAGTTTGAAAGATCATATATGATTACCTTTGTATGGGTCCCCTAACATTTCTCAATCCCAGGCAATGAGAAGGTAGATTCTCTCGCTAAGGTGAATTTTTCCCATTAGATTGTCAGAGTTCTTTTCTAAGTTGGCAAAACGATTGGACAAGTAATTTTCTTGGGCGGTACTCCAAATGTTTCTTCGAGAGCGTGGTTCAAAGGTCTCCGCGTGATGTCAAGACTTATGTCCAACCACTACTCGCTAGACGCACATCTCTGCAAAATAAACCTCGTTGACAGCAATATATGTAGATGCAGAACCGGTTATGATGACATCGACTACGCAGTTTGGTATTACCCGGGTAATGACGCCTCCAGAATGTTGGATACCCTAGTGACCCGAGGAAGACAACCCTTCCGTGAAGTAAGAGATGTATTGAGAACCCGTGATCTTCCCTACATGCAGGCGATCTACGAATTTCTTTGTTTGTCTGAAGTCAGAGTTTGATGTGACAATCCCCTTCTTTCCAAACGATTTCCAGCCATTGTGTTATCCTCCTGTTTTTGTGCTACTTGCCCTTCCCAAACAGGATTTGGTCAACCGTCCGTGCGTAGTATCTGAATGAGGCTTCAGAAACCAGTTTCCCACCTAGCTCCTTCCAATCGAAATTGTTACCCATGAACCTCGAGTCCGCCATGAGTAATAACCTAGAACTACTGCTGTTTAAAATTTAAATTCAAACATTACTGATTTTTGGCTCCACAAAGTGTCACACACGACTGAGCCTAGTAAATAAACGAACTAGTTAAAAAAAACATGACTGTTTCTTGAATGTGTATTTAACCCTTCGTCTGTGCCAAAAAAAAACCTACGTTGTCATATCTCAGTAAAGGTTCGACGGATTTTTGAGATTTCATATGTTTTGTAAATTAAATTTAATGTACTTTATGTCTAAATTACCAAAGAGGGTCTCTCATAGGGAGAGGTCATTGTAAAAATATACTCATGAAGTGGCATATTTTTATGTTAGAGATCTCTATATCAGGACTCAGGAGATCCCATCCACATACGATGTTGCTTCCTTCTGCAAAGATGTTATAGAATACAAGGTCTTCAAAACTATGGATAGTGTTTGACAGAATATACTTACTAGATGGTGCTAAAACGAAAATGATTAAGTTACACCATTATATAACGCTATCTACAGATCCTGCTCATATGGCTGGTTACCGTATTCGCTTAAGTTGTTAAGATGGACAAGACCTATCCTAAGGTAAAGAGTTTAGTTCAAAATTCACTCGTCAGACAGTGCTAGTGTATCATTAGTTTTTCATTGTTTGCCCTAACTTAACATATTGACTAGATAGAAAGTTTCCGGCTTCGCTAAATTTATTCAGATGGACAAGACTTACCTAAAGTAAGAGTTTAGTTCTGAATTCACTCATAAGGCAACGCAAATGTGTTAATTTTGAATTGTTTGCCCTAAAGGTGATCAGATGGACAAGACTATTGATGAACAAAAGTGACTGATATGAACCGTGTCCTATTTTTGAGAAATATTTTTAAATAAACGAATTGCTTATTTCTTTCTAAATGGGGATGACAAGAATCTTCTGAACAGAGTTGGCAACTAATAGATTATTTTTATCGGAATCTGATTGCTAAGGCGACCAAATATTCTAATTAGTTAAAATTTCAAATAAAGGCAAAACATATTAACAAATTAAACCTCTAGCGATCCCTGATTCGTGAATTCTAAACTATGATGATTACCATATAGGGGAAATGACGGCTTCGGCATGCCAGACTATTTTCGGCAACCCAAATTGAAACACTATTTTCACTGGATTTTCTTACGAAAACTCTTCGCTGAATGCATGCAAACGATTCTTTATGCTTTCAGCTTCAATTTGACTATACTTTTACCACTGAGAAAAAGCAATCTAGCAAGGTTTTCTTGAAATGAAACACACACACTTCAAATTGTAGCTGATTTCGAGTTGCCGATAATAGAACAGTAGATTTACATGCAGTTCAAATGGAACGGTTGCCGAAGAAAAACTGGTTGCCGACAATACTCGCTCTCACTAGAGAAGATTGGAGCTTTGTAAAAGCGTTTCAAAACAGTTTTTGACAATTCTTTCGACAGAAATTGTTAGAGCAGCTGGTAGCAAAAGATTGTAAACAAACCAATACTGCATATGTGTGCGTTCCTTAGAGAAAAAGGCTATAGAAAGAAGGTCGCTGCTTATGTTGCCGAGAATACGTAAATTCCCCTAGTTATTTTTGATAATCTAAAAACTTTGCCCAAAACAGAAAACTAAGTGAGACGAAGACGGAAACTTTATATTTAGTCTAACTGAAGGCAAACAATTCACTCACCGATATCCATGTCCGTTTTTTTTCTCGTATCTAATCAAAATTGTCATAAATGTAATGTATTGCGCTATAAAATCAGCTAAGGACATGTATCATCAAAGTCGGCAAGTTGCATCTCTAATTCTTGTTCATCCGCTCGATAATAAAATAAATCTCCTTCAAAAGTTGTATGCCATTTTATTGCGTGCAAGTAAATAAACAGATATAGATGGCACTACAAACGAACCAGGTTGCCAACTTGGATAAGGCATTAAATATGTTTACACGAGAACGAGCATGAGAACTGAAATATGCATGGTCAATGAGGGTACCTCAAAATTGAGTAGAATTTTACTTAAAATTTACAAATGTGAGGTTACTCAGTGAGCGAGTAAAATTTTCCTCGATTTTTCAGGAAAAACTTCTTGAAATGGCTTTAATGTTGGCCTATGGATCTAAGATTGGGCCCATCGCTAAAAATCTGCTATTTATCAATTTTATCTAGATGAAAGAAGTAAAAAAACCATCTGGACAAAATTCCATAACTAGACGAATGAAATTTCTGGGAGAAGTTTAATTGAACTTCCTGGAGAAGACGGAAAAAATTCCTGGAGACGCTGGCAGAAACTTCCTAAGGTAGATTGGAAAAAAAAAATCTGGAGAAAGGCGGAAGCCAGAGCACTTACGGAACAGTCGAAAGAAACAAGAACATAATTCCGGAAGAAAGAGCTCTTGGGCGATGTTCTAATGATCCAGAATTTTTTTCAAATGGTCATAAAACATCCTTGAAGACCCCGAAATGCCCCTGAAGTTTTTGGAACATTCCTGAAATGTACTTAGGAATATTCCATATTTCCTCGTGATGTTTTGGAGTACTCTTATCATCTTTGAAATACTTGGAACTTCCCTGATTATAATGAGACTACCAGAATATCTCTAATCAACTTTGAAGGTCTCTAGAATTTCTTGAAGATTATGAAATTTCTTACGCGCTTTCACAATTTTCTTGAATTTACTGTAACATCAGCATTGAAGTTCTTTGATCTTCTCGATTTTTCTAATTTTTAAAAGTGATCGACACTCCCATTAATAAGCAAGGAACTTCCCATAAAATGTTCTGACAATGTGCTAATGATCGTGTAACTTCCCTTACGTTTCTTAAATTTGAATGAGCCCATCGGAACATTGCTGAAGTTTTCGGAAATTGCCTGAGTTTCTAAGAACTCCTTTAAAATTTACGATTTCCTTGAAATTTATTGATCTGATCTGATTGTCCTGATGTTCTCAGAGCTTTCTAAGGTTCTCTTAATTCTCCTGAAACTAATGGAACTGTTCTGAAAACCATTAAATTACCCAGAATTTCTTTGGACTTGTGAAGTATCCAAAATATTTACGATATTTCCTTAAGTTCACTGGTGTTCGCTGGACCGGATTTTAGAATTATAACAGAAGTTATTATAACATTCTTTAATTTATCGAAACTTACTCAAAAGTCTGGACTTTTCTGAAGTTTCCGCAGTGGATCCGCAATCAAAATGTAGAAGCATCCCTGAAGTACCAGGAAGAATCATTCGAGCGAAGGCTGAAGAAGCTTCCAAGGAAAGTCAAAATAAGTTTCCGAGAGGAATCGTAAATAGAAAATTCCAGAGGAAAGTTCAAAAAAATCCAGAAAGTTAAATAATGTTTAAAAAGTATTTGCCGATTCCCCCGGAATTACCATAAAGAGCCATCGACTGTTTATCGATTCACGGAATGCAAAAACGGTGAGGAAGTTGAAACATTAACCGAAAGAGTATCCATACGACATTTTTGAAGATGATTTTTTTTTTTAGAATTTCAAACACTCAAAAAATTTGAGATATTCAAAAAGATACAAGTGTCGCACAATAGTTTTCTCCGAAATTCTTAGGGTGGGTAGGCAATAATCATTTTGATTTAAAAAAAATCGGTATAAATCGGTATAACACCTCAAAAATCGGTATTCTGAGGAACCTTATATGTATATCGGTATCTAGTTCGGAAACCGGTAGTAATACTGATGAATCGGTATATCTGGCAACGCTGACAGAGACTGACGTTAAATAAAGGAAAAAAGACACTCAGCTACGTTGACCGGTATTTCTTTGCCGAAAAAAAAAATCGGTAAACGAAGCATGTTACAGATTTTCCGGTAAATCAATTTGACTTTAACGGGAGAAAAACAAAAGTGATTTATTTCAAATG